AAGCCTGCACTTCAAATCATGTTCCTCAGCTTACTGAGCAGTAGCCACTGACACGGTGCAGAAGAAACTGGAGAGTCACGGGTGACTCTTCTCCCTCATTCCCACATGTATTTGACATCGAGTCCAGAAATGTAGGCACTTTAACATTATTTGCAAAATTATATGTGTCAGAAGAGAGTGAGCAGAATGGAGTGTCACACTGTGCCCACAGCAGTACTCCCCATTTATCTGGGTGATGTGCTCCCAAATCTCCAGTGAATGCCTAACTGTGGATAGGGCTGAACCCTACATACATTTTTAAATATTCATTTCCTCTATATGCACACTTATAATAGAGGTGCTTTTTTTTCATTCAGTTCTTGGGGTTCAACCCAAGGCCTTTGAACTGAGTTACAACCTTCTTCATTTATTATTTTGAGAAAAGATCTTGCTAAATTGCCCAGCTGGGCTTCAACTTATAATCTTCCTGTCTCAACCTTGATAAAGTTTAACTCAGAAATTAGACATAGTATGAGAGTAACAATGACTAATAACAGAATCATTATAACAACACACTGTAATAAAACTATGTGAGCCCTCTGTGACCTCCAAATATCGTCTTGTACTGTGCTTAGCTTTTTGTTCTTGTGACAATGTAAGATGATACAATGGCCACTACCTGCTGATGTGAAGTGAGGTAGATGACCCCGGCATTGTGATGGAGCCATAGGCTACCATAAAGGATTATTTGACACAAGCACCTCAATAACTGACAGTCAGCCTGACAAGTAAAACAGCCACCAAATGCCTAATGGACAAATAGCACACACAGCGTGCATACACTGGTAAAGGGTGTTTCCTTTCCTGTGGGGACATGGGGTGGAACAGGATGGTGAGAGACTTCACCATGCTTTCAGAATGGGGTGCAATTTAAAATTTATGAATTTGTTTCTAGAATTTTCAGTTTAATGTTTTTGGGCTGCCATTGACTGAAGTTAACTGAAACCACCAAGTTTAAAACTATGGATAAGGGAGGGCTTTGGACTTCTTTTTGGACTTCATGTATTTCCAGAACTATTATAACATTCTTCTGTTCTTCCAATTCCTCTGTTTTGCTTCCAGTTTATTTACTTACTTATTTATTTATTGGATTATCAACAGAAACTTTATTTCTTATTGATTCCAGGAACAATTGAAGGATAGGTGGTACAACTGAGGAAAAGAGGGACAGAGGGAGAAAGAATCCTATAAAAAGGAAAGGCCAGACTGGGGGATATGAGGAACATGGACAGGGCAGAGAGACAGTTCTCAAGAAGGGGATACTGAATGAAGGGGCAGTTACATGGGGCACCAAATCCAAAATTAGCCACAGGAGATGGAATGAGCATTGGTCCAGATCAGAAGGGTGGATGAGAGTGAGTTAGTAACCGTTAGGGATACAGGATGATGGGCTTCTGTCAGGGAACTGGGGCTCAGGTTTTGGGTTTAAAGGTATAACATGGGGGAGCCCAGTAGGGCTGGCTGCAGGAGGAGCCCCCAGGCCCCTCCGCTGGGCCTCTCCTTTTGGGGGCACCTCACTGACATGGCAGAGCCATTCATTGTAGTCTGGTTGCAGGCTCTCAGCCAGTCCCTTAGACACACCACTCCAGGCTGAAAAGTTCCCATGGTATTCAGTGACCAGATCCTCTAGGTTCTAGAGGGTGGGAATTTGAGGCATTGTCTGTTCCAGCCAGCAATACACAAAGAAGAGGCTAATAATCCCATGGAGCCAACAGGGATAAGCACGGTTATGGTTATAAACAACCACAGATTCTCCTTTGAAGTGTTGCTTCCCAAGTGGATTGGGTAGCTCCATTCACTCTAATGCTGAGCACTTCCACAGAGTGGTTTAAAGCAGCTCTGAACCTGCCCATCCACACTAGGAAGGGAGAAGCTCTGTTTGTGATCTACTTGTTCAGTTCAGGTGCTATCCCAGTCACTCCAATACTGCACCAAATGCTACAAACAGTGGTCCAAGGAGTATCTGTTGTTTCAGCTCAGTTCTAGCTGGGATTCACTCAGGTTGTGAAGTATTAGATTCTCCAGAGCCCAAGGGCTCACTGGGTTCTGCAGTTTTAGCTTCTTTTCCACCTCCCTCTTGGTTCTCATGGGTCCTGCAGCTGGACAATGTTTCATAGAGACGGATCTCATTTTCTTGCAGCCAACACCTGGAAGCGATCTCTTTTGAGAACAGATAGTGACCACATTCCTGGACTTTATAAATATCAGAGTTTTTGTACCCATTTTGCAGAGTCAGCTTGATAGGGTGGAGCTCAGAGCTGCTATTCCAAGTGCAATTTATGTACTTGCCATTGAATACAAAGCACGGAACCTCTGGGAGGGGCATGCGAAATGTTGAGAGACCCAGGGGTCTCAGAGGTCAAGAAGGAAACTAGGTTGGGGAGAAAACAAAGTGGGAGAGGAAAAGAGAAGAAATGATAGAAGAAATAGTGTGAGGCGGGCAACTTTTCTCCTTGTCTTCCCCACTCTAATTTTCAATTCTCTCTGCATTATTGTGAAGGCCACATGCAGGTTCCAGATGTCTGTATGGTCCCTTCCATAGCCTTCTTACCAACCTCCTCCAGTCCCAGATTCCCCACCAGCTGTGGTGTCTTCATTCCCACTGGGCTTGAGGACCATCGAGTTTAGCCCCACCCCCAGCAAAGGTAGCTGCAGGAATAAGAGGGATCTCAGTGGCGATGACGGCTTCAACATGATGCTTGTTCTTTGTTCCCTGGGTGTAGACTTGCCTCCAGTTTATTTTTGAACACATGCAGAATTCATTCTAAAAGGAGAAAATGAATGGACTTAAAAGGAAAAAAAATGTAATTCTCTGACTTCAAGATATAACAGGTACAATTGTGAATGAAAATGTCAATGGAAGGGAGCAAAGATTGTTCTTAGAGTAAGGGAAAGAGTAGAGATCAGACATAGGAGATTTGGGTTCAAGTTCCAACCAAATCACTTGCTTGTTGAGTATTCTGAACCTTTTATATCTTTTTTCTTTTGTGACTGTGCTTGTGTGTGCATGTTATTGGGGATCAAATCCAGGACCTCTATACTGAGCTTTATCCCCAGTCACTTAAAAAATGTTTCATTTTGAGGCATGGTCTTATGAATTACCCAGGCTGGGCTCAAACTTGTAATCTTCCTGCCTCAGCCTGTCAGAGCCCTAGGATTATAGGTGACAACAATCCTTATAACCTATGTATTCCTACAAACTCAACTCAAGCTCACCTCCTCTAAGAAGCCTTTTCTGACTATGTAGATTTAGACAAGTCCCCTTTTTGCTACTATAACACTGTATGGCTGACTTTATTGTGGTAATGTTTTTATACTTGCTGAGTATTTCCTGTTTCTGCTATTAGATTATTAGACTACAACTTCCTTGTATTCTCTTGGTTTAGTATAGTGGTTGGCACATAGCAGGTGTTCAATAATGAAACCATATTCCCCAAACTCAGCTTCCTCAGCTGTAAAATGGACAATACTGTCTACTTTTCAGCATTATGTAAAATGCATACAAAAATCTTCATAAACTACAACTCAATGTATAAAATGATTATTATTTGTCCCCCACTCCCTTTCTGTTTGTTTTGTCTTTGAGACTGGGGCTCAATACATAGCCCAGGATGCCCTTGAACTTGTGATCCTCCTGCCTCAGCCTCCCATGTGCTAGGATTTATAGGTGTACACCACCATTTCTGGCCCCTACTACTTTTCTGAGTAAAATCCAAATACCTTAACATAGCATTAGAGGCCCTAAACAATCTCTGAACAATCTGTTTTTTCCAGGCTTTTTTTTTCTTTTTTTTCTTTCTTTCTTTTCTTTTTTATTTTTGGTCTCACTATGTGGTTCAGGTTGGTCTTGGTAGGTCAACGTTTTAATTTGCCTCTGTCTACTACCTTCATTATACATAGCCAGCTAAATAATATTTTTAAACACACCAACTTTTTCCGTATCTTCTACCATTTTATATGGCACTTACCTAGATACATATCAGTATCAATAATGTTGAATATAATAATTAAGAGGTTGTAGAAGCTAAAAACAAATGTTACTTTTGAATACTAACCATTTTCCTACCCGTCTAAGTCTTTTTCTCCCATCTTACTCAATATTCCACTCAGTCACCAACGTGTTTTAAAACATGGGCTCGATTACATTTTTCAATGTCTGCTGGATAAAATCACCTAGTAGTATGGACAAAGCTCTTCATGATCTGACTTCCCTCTGCCATTTCATCTTCCACTGTTCACTAATAGCTTTTGCGACAGCCATAGTAACTATAGTACTTGTAGTTTTATCAAGATAATAGGCTCTCTCAGCTTTCATGCCTTTACACATGATGTGTCCTTTGCCTCTCACGTCCTCCTCTATTTTGTCTATCCAGTGAACTCCCTGTCATCCTTTAAGATTCAATTCAGATGTAAACTCTTTTGTGAAACCTGCCCACAAATACTCCTTGGCAGAATTAGATGCTTTCTACTCTTTTATTATGCTATACATATCTTGTTACAATCTTCTGTGATGGTGCCTGTCACCTCCACTAGCCTGTAAACTCATCTGGCATAGGGCTTTGTTTTTATCTCTCAGTCCTTACAGTTTGGCACAAAATGGGTGCTCACTGAAGATCAGCTGAATCTATCAATTACTATGCCTCAGTGGTCCCTGAGGGACTCCATCCTGCCCATCACACTCATACATGCTCTTCATCTCTAGACTACTAAATCTTTGTCTTTTAGGTGGCAATCAGGTGCTGGTGGGATAGCATCTCTAGTCAGGCAAAATTTCACTAGTAAAACAAATTGTAAAAATTTAGTTTTTGAAAAAAAAGTAAGGGCAGTGCTACCACACCATAGATTGGGAAATGAAGACTTTTGCCTTCATTACACGCAATACCCTCCAGCTGGAGCATTTTAATCTCCTGTATCCAGTAGGTTTAGGCCCTGGGAGGGGCAGGCACCAGGATCCGGAAGTGACAGAGCGGAAGTGACTTGCTAGCGGAAGTCGAGGAGGGTGTGGGCACCACTGGCTGGTTTGAGGAGGTGGAGTAGCAGGATTTGAATTTGAGCGAACCCCCCCCCCCCACAGCAGCTGGACCTTCCTCTCAGGTAATGGGCTCTGGTGTGGGTTTGCTGATGGCAGGATGAGCTAGCGGTCACCTACTTTACTTTCGCTACCGGCGCCATGTGCGGGACAGGCGATGGGAGGGCTCCGAGGCTGTCTCCGTGAGGGCAGGACCCTACTGTGTGACGCCATCATACCTCTCCCTCCTTCTAGAAACTTCCCCCAAACTTCCTCTCTGTAGTGATCATGTCCAATTTTAGGGCAGTTGCCGGTTAGGTTCTCTGAGTAGACCCAGAACCAAGCTCACCTGCTATATAGTAGTCCTAAAATCATTGTTGACTAAATGAAGAAGTGGGTGCTAAGGAACCCTGTCTGTCTTTCAGGAGTTGATTTTCTGACAGCTTCTGACTTTCTATTTTTCAAAATTCTCTCCAAAGCATCTCCTTTCTTAAAAAGCCCTATCTAGTGAGTATGCCTTATGCTGCAGGTGAGGGAAATGAGGCCCAGAGTAGCATGTAAGTCTTAATTGGAAAAAACAGATTAGGGCCTCAAGTCCATGCCATTGAATCCCAATTAAAGTAGTGAGAGGGGGCACGTGAAAGCCCAGGTGTAGCCATTTACTTCAGGGGGCAAGGGCTGTGTCTTATGCAACTAACTATTTCTCCATTTCCTGGGATGGAGCCTGCCACATGGTTGATTATTAGTTGATTCTCCCCCCCC